AATGTTAACAAATTCGTTAAGCTATTCTGTTGTTGTTGTTTAAGTAAAGCTGTAATTCCTGAGCCAGAAGAAGAAGAGCAAGACGAGAGTGAAGAAGAAGAAGAAAAAACTCCGCGAAGAAAATCAAAATCTAAAAGCAGAAAAAAGTCAGACGCTCAATTAAAAAATAAAAGGAAGTCCAAATAAAATATTGTTTCGTTGTTCCATTGTGATTCTAAATTCCAATGCATTTGTGATATTTATCAAACTCATCCACAAATGATTATTAATCAAGCTTTTGTTCAGAAGTCAAATATTTATAATCCATTGTTGCTAAATTATTCAACTGAAAATTCAGTTTTCGATCAGTCATTGCTATTTCAAACTGTAGAATATGTTCAAGCTTTACTTGTCCAAAACTTATTGAACTTAATATATAATTTACTAGGGACATCATGCCTCCAGATTCCGCTCAAAATATGATTTAGTTTGTACTTTGAAAAAGACTACATTCTAAAATTTCCTCATCTGATGAAATTTTTCACTCGTACTATTGAAGTTATTTTATCTTCTGTTTGATATATTTCTATAGGACAATTACTATTTCGTCGATCTTCAAAATTTTATTGATAAAAATTGTATATAGCATATGTTAAACTAAATCTTTAAAAAAATAATCATGTGACATTGACAATGAGTATATATAAATCAAACACAGTTATTTATTGAGATATTATGTATATAACATTTAGAAAAAAGTGTAATTTACTTGTGTAAATAAACGGAGTAGAATAATATGAAATATAGCTAAAAAAAGTTATCACCAAGCAAAACGAAACATGCTTTAATAAGTTTTGTACACGGTGTACGTACTGTTTTAGTTTCTACAGTTTGCATAATACTTTTGATTCTTATAGAATGTAATATTGTCTGTGTTGGCGTTTCTTATTACCACGTTTGATTTGATTTAATTTTGGGTTGTACAATGTACATTACAAAATATGACATTCAAAAATGAATGAATATTGTACGTTTCTGAAATACAATTTGATAGCATTCAAATTTGGAGATAGAATATACACAATTACTATACAAAGTAGGATGCTGAATCAGACTCGTTTGTCATTTCAGATCCGCGCTTCATTGTAATGAACTTTGGATGTCTTCGGTTTAGATTTTGTTATGCAACAGCAGCAAAACACTTTTATAAAACTGTTGACTTTGTATGAGTTTTCTAGTGCTTCTTCCAGTTCCACTATCCGGCGTTCTTTTTCTCGCAGAAATTCATTTGTTCCGGAGTATTCTTGATAACCAGCCACAGCCACAGATCCAATCACTGCTCCAAAGGATGCCGCCATTATATCAGTTATATTATTGAGAATAGAACTAATGTTGTAATTAATCACAAAAAATATAAATTTTTCAATTATCTAGGTAAATTTTAGCAGACCATGAATTCAAGTGTTGCTAGAATGCAAACGTTTATAATTATTATATACATTACGCCAGGGGTTCTCAAACTTTTGGTGTTGCGGAGCCCCTGAAAAGGTTGACTATTATTCGCGGAGCCCCAAAAGAAATGTTAAAATAGGAGCTTTCCAATAAATATTCCTGAGTAAGTTAAAAGTACTTAACTTAATTTAAATGCTAAACCTTTTTTTAATGGGGTTAATGCAAGTCATAAATAAATCAAAAATTCCAAAGATAAATTATATATACTCTTACTAAAGCTGTAAATTTTACACTTGACAAACATATTAATAAACATGAGAGCTGTGCTCAAATATATGGACACGTTAACCAGAGCGAAGCAGTATTTACCTTTGACGCCACCGGTACCCACAAAAAATTCCGAGGTTCGCGTAGAAATAATTTACAGAATCAAACGGACAGCCAGTGTTCCCATAGATAAAATAATACAGCGAAATTTTAAACGAAATATCAGATTTCATGCGAAATTTAGAAATAAATAAAAGTAATAGCCTTCTGGCAAAAAAATCAATCTTTACTCACTGAAAATTTCAAAGCAATTGGTCCAGTAGTCAAAGAGAAAAGCGATTTTTTTTAAAAAAAATGATGGAGACAAATAATAATAATAACAATAACAACAAAATTTTGAAACGATTGTTATGTCCACTATGTGTCCAACTAGGGGTCAAATCTTTTCCCTTTTGACATTTTCGGATGACTTAAAAGGCCGCTAATAACGTGCGCGATTGCATCTTATTACAATAACCGATAGTTTTCGTCAGCATGGCATGTTTTTAAACATCTTTACGCCGGTGTTTATTCTCCCTAAATCAAAAATTTTCTTCGGCATTTACATGCATTGTTCCACAATGACGACAATAAATGCTTTTTTGTTCTGGTGGGAAATTATGAGTTCAATATGAAATACATGTTACCATATAGTCATCGGCGACGAAATGCTAAAAATAATAATTAATAATAAAGAGGTAAATCCGCAACTCAAATTTCTTGATTGAAAAACGGCATTCTAAAATATTAAAACTTAAAATAAAAGATCACACTATAAGTTTGGTTTTAGCAGACTCACGTCAGATTAAAAACGCTTTACGCTTTTATAGGCATTGTAAATCACAAAATTTGGTGTAATGTTAGGTTTTCTTTGGTTATTCATCGTATAGTAACTGCGAAATCGAAACACAGTCAATTGTGTGCGCGATATACCTTTTTTTTATTCTAAAACTACCGACAGAGCCGCATGCATTAAAATAAATTTCAATCGTATTTTGCCCAGATCTTGTGATTTTTTAAACGGCGATATCTTGCTTAATAGTAATCTCGAGTGCAAAAGAACAGATCAAGTTTGACAAATTTCAGATCGCAAAAATACGACTCCAATTTATTTATAGTTGGCAGTTTATCACGTATTTTATGTTATTTTAGAATAGTATTCTTTCATTTTAGTAATCCTAATAGTAATCTCGAATGAAACTTGAGTAACTATGAGTACAATTGAATTATTACGACAAGACACTTTAAATGCTCGCATCGGCCATGCATTGAATATTTTACGCAACAGAAATCTCGTTATCCGTTTTTTATAATCGCAATGAATGTTGCGCGGAAATTTCCGATTCAAATCCCCACTTCTTGAGAATCCTGGCTGTGCTCCAGCTTATAAATAATGTCATTTTTTAATTCCGCCTCTTTGCCATATTTCGAGGCTATATTGTTGTCAAATTTCATCAAAGCTGTTATTGCTTCTTTGAAAAGTTACAAAACTATAGTCATTATTTTGAAAAGTAATCGAATAGCTCGCGGAGCCCCTGGGTTTCTCTCGCGGAGCCCTGGGGCTCCGTACGGAGCACTTTGAGAACCTATGCATTACGCGATAACAAGCATGATAGATTGATCAGTAAACTGTTATTTTGTGAGCGAATGACAAGCAGTTAAGTATTATTTTAAAAGGACGTTACCTGAGTAGAAATTATTTTATAACACAGTAAATGTATTCTGATCCGGTTAACTAGATTAAAATTATATCAAGAATATAATAACTCATCAGAAATGTTATAGATTAATATTCTCATTCAACTCTACACAAAGTATCATGCCCTGTGGTCTGATTGCACATATGAGTTGATTGCTAAATTGTAATAGAAATTCACTAAAAATGAACCTTCCTGAAACCTTTCATTAGTATCTCTATATTGTCCCGCATATTCTTGATATTATTACAGCACTTTCACACAATAGCTTAAGTATAATTTCCAATTCTCTCCACTATTCACTTTGCTCTACAAACAATTAGTAATGATCAACTGGTTCACTTCTGCCCTAAGCCGGTAACTGGTAGAAAGTCCACATAGGATTCGCCATATGATTAAGCTGTCATAATAAAGTTCCCTTCCTTAGCGAAATACGGCAATTTTTTCTTAAGACTAGTATGTAGGCAGCGTGAAATACATATAAAGATTCCCGGATTAGATTACATATAAAGATAAAGATATAAGCTTATACGACAACAACAGCTCCTTTGATTCAAGTGGTGGTGTTTCATTGTCGTCAACTTGTTTTTCCAACCATATATTGTTTGAACAAGATCAAGTTTGCCCTGACAAGCTCGACTAACACTTTGACTTAAATATTAAAAGTTCATACAGATCTGAATACCGCTTTTAGATGGAATATATAAAGAGAGAAAGGATGTTTTTCCTATTTAAAGTGTTTGTACATACATTCACAAAATATGTTAAAAGGCAAATATCAATTTGATAAATAGAACTTAGATTTCTTGTCAAGTCGCACCTCACCTAACATTTTAAGCTGTACAGATACATGAAGATTGTACCTACTTTGAAAACAGGGGAGGTTTGTCAAGACTCGAGTATGTATCTCCGTAAATGTTAAACATACGGCCGTGATGTACCATGCAGATTATCCCTGTAATTTTTCAATTTGCTTTGACACTCATTTAGTTAGTTTGCGATTCTAAACAAAACGTTTATTTAATAACTTGGGGGATTGCAAGACTTGATTATGTATGAAAAATTCCGCAAAATGTTGAACATAAAGTAGCGCTGTACCATGTAAATTATACGAACGATTATAAAATACAAACACAAATCGAGGTATGGACCACGAGAGAAAGCTATATAAAGATACTAGCAACAATTAATTCATTTTAGGTTGAGTTTCTAATTTATATATAAGCGTATACGATCGTAAAAGCCCCTTGAGTGGTAGTTCAAGGTCGTCAGTTGTCTTTGTGATCATTCAATATTTGAAAATCAAATTTGCCCGTAAGACGAGCCTTCGCTTATCAACTTATTTTGTGTTACCTATACATCTCACCTGGAATATTAAGATGTCCAGATTAAAAAAAATATGCAAAAGTTATAAATGTAGGCTTATACGGTTTTGCTAAAAGCGTAGTCTGATCACGAAGAATATATGTCAAGAAACGATTATACACGAAAACTTCCGGGAAATGTTAAACATGCGGTCGCACTGTATAAGTAGAATTCATTCTACACAAAGTAGCTGTACTTTATGTTGCTTTTGTATTTGTTTAGTTGAATTACTCCAACAAAATGAAGATTTTTGTGTTTATACTTTGTTTCGTAATTCTGAATGGCATGAGCAGCATGAGGGTAACATCTCATCGCACAGCAAAGAAATGTGTTTTACCAAAGTCTCAGAAGATTAACTGGAACAAGGTTTGTTTATTATTCTATGCTGCGCTCCCGTTTAGAGTTTGTCAAGCCGTCCGTCCCACCTCAAAAATAACTAGCTAACGATAAACTACAAATAACATAGTAAAGAGAAAGTATATTTGTTTTATTAATAAAAAAAACGTTGAAAACATGCGAATGGAAGGTAAATAATGAAATAAATGAAGGAAAGTTTCAAAAACAAGCCAATTTTGTCGCAACAGCTCTCCACAATGTCTAACCAAAAAAGAAATATAAATAACCAAATGACGGCGACCAGATAAAATCTAACAAATATATTTGTTTTAAAAAGTTGTCTGCGTCCCGTTGTGGGTCGCGACCCACCATTTGTGATCCGCTGTATAGTTTTTTTAATCATATTTGTATTATAGAAAACGTTGGGAAGTCAGTTATGAATATATTGCTCACGGTAAAAAGTCACATCATACCAATCAATGCACAGGTGTCTATCTACACCAGTTGAACCAAACACAAACTTATTTTTACATTCGTAGTACTTAGTGGGGATGGTAAACGAATTTTTGAGCAATTGAAGAATCATACCAATTATGAATGCCTATAAAACATGTGAAGCTAGAAAGATAATTTTAAATTTCCTTGACTAATTTGACATGAAAATAAACTATGCTACTCATCAATGGCTCTGAGTTGCCGCTGTCTTGATGCTACACGTAACTTTTTTGTATTATATATGAAATAATTGATGTTGAGTTTCACAGATTCGTGGAAATTGGTACGAAGCCTTAAACAGAAAAAGTCCGTTGGAAAAACTATTAAGCTGTGAAGCTTGGAGTCATGTGGTACCTACTAAGTATGGCATCAAGCTAAATCTCAGAAACGAAGATTGGTGAGTGATGATGTAGTTGAACGACTATTCTTCTGCCTGTCAAATAACATATATATATATATATGCAAAGTTTACTTCATTTTATACAGGAAAACTCACACATATAGCGTTCTTCCGATGTTCATTAGAATTACAAAATCAGGCACAGGAATTTGGAAACCGCCGACAGGTAAGTTCCCATATTTTTTGTGCTGTTGTATTGAATAACATACAATTTTTTCTTTTTATATTGTCAATCGTAGGTTGTGTAATCTCAAATGTAGAATATTTTCAATTTCAAACAATTTGTAAACGAGATAGCGATCAGAGACCGCCGACTTATCGATCTAGCGGCGTGAATCCTTCGCTCTGACTCAATAGCGATACCGCGTGTCTTATCACTAATTATCTAATAACTCGCTAATTAAAGGGCATAATTTATCCAAAATCAATGGGTTCTGGTCCGAGATATGATGATTACACATGCACAAAATTCGGAGCAGATTCAATCGCGAATTCGTGAGGTATCGCGTAACATACGAAAGTGTCCAACAGACAGACAGACAAACAAACAAATACCTATCAACATACTTACCGATCAAGATCGATAAGTAATAAAAGTTTAATGACACCATAACGAAAGTTAGCAGGGGGATTGTCATTAGTGTCACAATATTACAACCATGACCGATGTGTAAGTACAGTTTAGTACTGAAATTATAGCATAGTTAGTAAGAATATTAAAATACTAAAATATTAGACATTAGAAAAATAAGTGATATAATCTTGCGTTCTCTCTGCAAAATAGTGTTGTTGTATTATTACTTATCGATTTTAATCGGTAAGTATGTTGATAGGTATTTGTCTGTCTGTATGTCTGTTAGATGCACGCGATATCTCATGAAAGCAAGATTGAATCTTCTCCAAATTTTGTATGTTCATTAATCTTATCTCGAACCATAAGCCTATTAATTTTGGGCAAATTATGTCGTATAATTAGCGAGTTATCAATTAATTAGTGATGGGACACAAGATGTCACTATGGAGTAAGAGCGCTGTTTTGGGGGATCCCCTAACTTTCGATCGATAAGTCTTCGGTCTCTGACCGATATTCTCGTTTATAGTATTGACATTGATTCAAATTCAAAATACCCAATTACTGAGATCAAATTACTTCTTTTTAGAATACTTTCATGCGCCTTAATTAAAAGATGTCACAATATCCTATTATCCGCTGCAGCGTATCATGTCATATAATATGCTATACATTTTCTGAATTTGTCATTGTACTTGTTCAAAAGGGTTATATGTAGTCAATTCAACATGTATTTTGACGAAAAGCTTACATTTTTTATTGTTTTTATTTTATACGCAGTGAAAAAATGGTTTGCCTCTTTGAAACAGAGTTCCGCAAATCACAATATTGGAAAAAAGCTCATCATGGGTAAATGCAAAATACAATTTATATAAAACATAGTATTATATTTGTTAAAGCTTTAGTTTGGAATGACATGCTGACTCATAGTTACTGAAGCTAACAGAATAATTAACAATGGAGGTAAAGCAAAATATCTTTGAATAAACTAAAGAAAAATTGTTTGCCCAAACTTTTAGATTGCAACCTCCAAATCTGCTGAGCTGTTTGAAATGAATAACCATTTCTGAATCAACGATATGCTTTTATAAGTTTGCTTCTGTATGTTGCTTTCAGCTATGATAAAATGCTTACTTAACCCATTTTCTTATATACTTTTGCAGAATTGAAATCGATGCAAAAAGCAGGATTCGCATTTTCTACAGATTACAAAACCTACTTCATCGTCATGTCATGTGGACGGAACGGTAAACTACAATTCATTATTATACAGTACATTTGATAGTGTTTTATTTTCTAATCAGCTAAATTGTTCAAATGTAACTCGTCGACCATTCAAGAAAGTTAATCTTTCATCAACTATAACTTCTGACTGAAATATTATTTTATTTCTAAATCCGATAATGGTATATTAAAGTAATGAAACTGTTATAAAATGCCAATACGTTTCACGTTAGATTGTCCCTTAGTTTTTCTACTCAGATCTTCGTGTACCACTTCCAGAAATATAGCAAGTTTGAAATATCAGGAATTAAGAGCAATGCCTACGTAAATCATTCATGTATCAAGTGCAATAAAATAGTATTTCAACTATTTTTAACAGGCGAGAAATACGTATGGGCGCACACGCGACATCCCTATCCCACTGCTAAATCTTTGGTTGCTATCTTCAACAGTTTGGTGAAAATTGGACACGGATGGAATGACGAGCCATTGTACTTGTCACAATGCGTCAAGATTTCTAACATATAGCCCAACCTCAAATCATTTCTGTAGAAATGATAATAAACACATACATATTCAGAGAGAAATTTTATAAAGAGGAAAAGGGAACCGCGAATGATAAGAAAAATAGTAATGAAGCTGCCCTAATACAGTTAATGACACACTTGATAGATGTAAATGACATTGTAATGTAATCTGAAATTTATTATGAAATGTGATTGAAATAAATGATGTGAAGGGTTTTCACTCAGAACTATGTCATGTTCTTCAATAACAGTAACAAAGCCACAGCAAAAATTCAGCAAATCAACCCATATTTACACTTCGCATTCAATAAACCTGTAGGCTGTAAAGTCAATCATGAACTTTTAAACCAGCGTTTCCCAACCTTTTTCGATCGCGGACTATTTTCTCTCCGGCGAAAACCTTTGTGGACTCAATGTGCGTTTATTGCAACCGTACTCTGTGTAAAAAGCAATAAAACCAAACACAACAAAACTTTAACGAATTTCAAAATCGAAAATTCGCCGCAATTACGCGTTCGTTAAAAGAGTCGAATTTTCTTGAGTATAAAATGGCCTTTTCTGTCGCATAATATTCAATCCAATGACGACGACGAAAATTTTAAATGTCCTTCTATAAAAATATTCTTATAATTCTGCACAGACACATTTCAGATAATTTATTCATATTTCATTGCAGTTCTTCGACTTTATCTTAAGAAAGTCAAAACATTCTGTCCGCGTCGTGTTGTAAATATTAAGTGTGTTCATGGTAACTCGCGGTTGCTTTGATTTACGACAAGATGAGAGCATTACTGCTTTAAAATGGCAAGGCAATCTGGAACTATGATGATGTGAGAATATATTGCCCGATTATATTTAGTTTGGATAAATATTTTTTTGCGATCTTGCGAATTTGTTGTCGCCGTTAGAAAAATCCTACCATCTGCTATAAATTTCCAGAAAGTACAACTTGATTTAGCACTTAGTAAAAATATATTTGAAGTATATCAGTAAATTAAAAAAACATATTCATCGCCTTGCTTTATTATTAATTTAATTGTGATCAATATAATCTGCGGGCGTGTTGACAAAATAAAAGCAATACTACTCAGGAAATATCATGACAATGCGTGGACACAAAAATGCGTGAAAGTGCCTGATTATATTTTGATTCGTATTTTTGTGAATTTGACAAATCTGAGCTGTTCGTACCAATGTGGAGGCTAAAAAAGCGTTTTTAATCGCGGACCATCATAAAACAAAACTTGAGGTGTTCTCCGTTTTATTTTTAGTATTGCCGCTTTTCAATTTAAAAAATTTGGGTCGCCACCATTGACACTTAGCATCAGAAAAAAATTTATTCCTCGTTGTTCGAACTCGCGAAACACCATTTAGGTATATATCGAAGCGTGTGCAGGCTAGTGTTTTCGTCAGACTTCATTTCAAAGCGTGGAAACTTTCAAGAAATAAAATGAAATTAAATTTTTGTGAACATCATAATAAACTCAATTAAACACGAAATCAGCACTGTTTCTTCAGGACAGAATTTCAGATATTGTGTTACAAACATAGTATTTATTCGTAATTTAACAAAATCAAGAAATATAACTGTATATATATAATTATGAAATGGTAAAATCACATTTAAAGAATTAAAGGTAATAAGTGCATACAGTCAACGTAACAAAAGTGTTTTTCAATTTATGAAATGTAATGTATGATGACAATTGTAACGATATTGGAATAAAACATGTTTGCCAAGCAAATAATTAACTGATATATAAACCGAGACATTCGGTTTCTAATTAATCTGAGTAATTAATACAATAATGGGATAAAAATACGATAAACTCTATTAATTAAATTGCCTGTATAGTGATAAATGACCTTTTGACTTAGTTCAGTATCAACGTGGAACTACAGCAACCCTCGATTTTTTGAGGCAGCAACAACAACATGCTTAGACAAAGCCGTTGGCTTTATAGGTGTTTTCCAAGCCCTTTTTCATTTTCTTGATTTCCTTTTGCTGTAGTTTGTTTTCAGCCATTGATTTATCCAGTGCAATTTGCAAATCCTCAATCTCACTTTGTTTTTGTTCCAAGTTATTTTCCAAATTATTTATCTCTTTTTGCTTTCTATCATTCTCGGTCTTCAATTCAATTATATTTTTGTTCTTTCCACTAAGTTCTCCAACTGCACCGAACACAGATTGTGTCAGTGACATGATTTACTCTACCAAAATGTTGTTGACTTATATTAATATAGGCAGAGAATATGAAAAATCAATTTCAGAGTTAGATATAGTAAAATAGGTTTATTATTACAATTTTTCTTGAAAACGCAATAAAGAGACAATAGTATTCCAATCGGAAATTGGATATATCTTCCCTTACACTTCTGAGGAGTGTTCAATAGGTTTCTACTAAACTAAAGGATTCTTGTTTCTGTTCCATCTATAAAGAAGACCGAGCGATCTTCAGGAAAAACAAACGAGAAACAACACAAATGAGTAGCAACGGCATGCCTGTATCCTAGCAATATTGGTCTCAGAGAGAGAAGATTTGTAAAAGCCTTTTGTTAGGCAAATCATTTATTTGTTGAATAGATGGTAGGCCTACAGATGTAACGCCGCGACCGAAAACTATTATTCAAGAAATAAATGACTTCTCTAACAAAAGGTTTTCTCAAATCTGAACCATCGTTGTAAAATATCATGGTGTGTTCTGTTGTAAAACGTGAATATAAAGAGAATATAAAAATTGAACTTTTCCCTTTTGCAGTACAGGACCAAGGCAAAAAACAAAGAAATGGTCGGTTCGTGTGATTTTCCACTTCATGGATTGGCGAACTCGAGTCTAGAGTATTGCGATATTGCACAAGCAAATGGAACTCAAATGACGCGTTTTAGCGCAAGTTGCGCATGCTTTGCTCAAAGCTAATGTGTTCACTAATTGAATGTTCCACTTTGAAAAACCCAGCTTTAAATCTTCTTCCCCATAATTTTCAAAAAACAAAATTACAAATGTCATTTTTGACCAAAAAACCAATACCAACTTAGTGACCTGTTGGGGATGTTGGATACATGCATTTCCCGTCTTGCATGAGTAGATTAGGCCAGAGATAAGAATGCGAATAAGAATGCAAAGGAGCTTCAGAAGTTTATTTTCTCCTATTAGGTTTTTGTGATGACACAATCAAAATAAAAAATTGCGCACCGTGTGGCGGTTTCATAAAGGCATTAAACATTGATTACATTTCTCTCTAAACTGTTGATGGCCATGATCCTGAATTAAACGAAAACCGTTTGGCCAGAGGGGGAGAATTTTTTCGTATCGAGGAAATTATATTAATATGATGTCGAGCTTGCTTCCAATCAAGTCAATATTTAGAACAATTTGTTCCAGTGGTGATGAGACGCAAGTAATTCATTGACTTTACTCGAGTTGGATTTGAGTTATCATTTATCAAAGACTCGGTGTGAATCGAGCAAACCTAATGATATGGCTCTGACTCTGATTTCGAGTGAGACATAACTCAGTGATTAAGTATTATTTTAAAAAGACGTTATCTGAGTAGAAATTATTTCATAACACAGTAAATGTATTCTGATCCAGTTAACTAGATTAAAGTTATATTCACTTTGCTCTACAAACAGTAATCAACTGGTTAACTATTCCCACTTCTACCTAAACCGGTAATTGGTAGAAAATTCGCATATGATTAAGCTCTCATAATTAAGTTCCTTTCTTTAGCAAAATGCGGGAATTTTATCCTAAGACTAGTATGTAAGTAGCGTAAAATACATATAAAGATTCCCGTAACAATGATTTTATATTTTCTCAGAATTCATAATTTACATATAAGCTTAGACGACAACAACAGCTCCTTTGATTCAAGTGGTGTTTCATTGTCGTCAATTTGTATATTGTTTGAACAAGATCAAATTTGCCCTGACAAGCCCGACCAACACTTTGACTTAACCAATATTTGTTGAATGTTTGATTCAAAGTCAAAAGTTCATACAGATCTGAATACCGCTTATAGATGGAATTAGCACATATAAAAATAAGGAAGAATGTATTTCTTATTTAAAGTGTTTTTACATACATTCACAGAACATGTTAAAAGGCAAATATCAATTTGATAAATAGAACTTAGATTTCTTGCCAAGTCGTACGTAGCACTTCACCTAACATTTTAAGCTGTACAGATACATGAAGAGTGTACCTACTTTGTAACTTGGGGATGTTTGTCAAGACTAGAAGACTCGGAAATTAGACGAACGAATATAAAATACAAACACAAATCGAGGTATGGGCCACGAACGAAAGCTATATAAAGATGCTAGCAACAATGAATTCATATTAAGCTGAGTTTCTAATTTACATATAAACGCATACGATCGTAAAATCCCCTCCCCATGTGTCGAGTGGTGGTTCAAGGTCGTCAGTTGTCTTTGTAATCATTCAATATTTGGAAATGAAATTTGCCCGTAAGACGAGCCTTCGACTTATTGACCTATTTTGTGTTACCTATACACCTCGCCTAGAATATTAAGATGTCCAGATTTGAAAAAAAAAATGCAAAAGTTATGAATGTAGGCTTTTACGGTTTTGCTAAAAGCTTAGTCTGATCACGAACGATATTTGTCAAGAAACGATTATACACGAAAACTTCCGGGAAATGTTAAACATACGGTCGCACTGTATAAGTAGAATTCATTCTACACAAGGTAGCTGTACTTTAAGTTGCTCTTGTATTCGTTTAGTTGAATTACTCCAACAAAATGAAGATTTTTGTGTTTATACTTTGTTTCGTATTCCTGGATGGCATGAACATGAGAGTAACATCTCATCGCACAGCAAAGAAATGTTTTTTACCAAAGTCTCAGAAGATTAACTGGAACAAGGTTTGTTTATTATTCTATGCTGCGCTTGCCGTTTTAGAGTTTGTCAAGCCGTCCGTCCCACCTCAAAAATAACTAGCCAACGATAAACTACAAATAACATAGTAAAGAGAAAGTATATTTGTTTTATTAAAAAAAAAAATCGTTGAAAACACGTGAATGGGAGGTAAATAATGAAATAAATGAAAAGTTTCAAAAACCAGCCAATTTTGTCGCAACAGCTCTCCACAATCTCTAAACAATAAAGAAATGTAAATATCCAAAATACGGCGGGGAAGATAAAATCTAACAAAAATATTTGTTTTAAGAAGCTCCACCCTCTCTTAAATAGTTGTCTACGTCCCTTTGTGGGTCGCAACCCAACATTTGTGATCCGCTGTATAGTTTTTTTTAATAATATTTGTATAATAGAAAACGTTGGGAAGTCAGTTATGAATATATTGCTCACGGTAAAAAGTCACATCATACCAATCAATGCACAGGTGTCTCTCTACACCAATTGAACCAAACACAAACTTATTTTTACATTGGTAGTACTTAGTGGGAATGGTAAACGAATTTTTGAGCAATTGAAGAATCATACCAATTATGAATGCCTATAAAACATGTGAAGCTAGAAAGATAATTTTAAATTTCCTTGACTAATTTGACATGAAAATAAACTATGCTACTCATCAATGGCTCTGAGTTGCCGCTGTCTTGATGCCACACGTAATTTTTTTGTATTATATATGAAATTATTGATGTTGAGTTTACAGATTCGTGGAAATTGGTATGAAGCCTTAAACAGAAAAAGTCCGTTGGAAAAACTATTAAGCTGTGAAGCCTGGAGTCATGTGGTACCTACTAAGTATGGCATCAAGCCAAATCTCAGAAACGAAGATTGGTGAGTGATTATGTAGTTGAACGACCTTTCTACTGCTTGTCAAATAATATATATATATATATATATGCAAAGTTTACTTCATTTTATACAGGAAAACTCACACATATAGCGTTCTTCCGATGTTCATTAGAATTACAAAATCAGGCACAGGAATTTGGAAACCGCCGACAGGTAAGTTCCCATATTTTTTTGTGCTGTTGTATTGAATAACATACAATTTTTTCTTTTTATATCGTCAATCGTAAGTTGTGTAATCACAAATGTAGAATATTATCAATTTCAAGCAATTTGTAAACGTGATAGCGATCAGAGACCGCCGACTTGTCGATCTAGCGGCGTGTATCGTTCGCTCTGACTCAATAGAGACACCGCGTGTCCCATCACTAATTATTCAATAACTCGCTAATTACACTGTGCAACACTAAAAAAAGTACAGGGTATCTGCAGCAATTTTTGTATGCTTAGTAACGTAGAAAATTTATTTCTGGCTTTCTTTTTGTTGAATTAGGTATAGTTTTTGCAAAATTGACACAGTCGTGAATTTCAGTAAAAACGTCAAAAATGGGTTACTGTCATTTTTGCGGTCACATATTATATTTATTATATTTTTTAATGTAGGCTAAAAAATATTAAGGAAAAAGAAACTTAAAACTATTAGGTGAAAAAAGCAGCAACAAAAAGTTTAGTTTTCTTACAAACATGCTTTTTTCAATATGAAAGTTAGCTAAGGCAGATTCATCTTCAATGGTTGTTTTGGTAACTATTCGTCTATATTTGCGTGTATATGCATAGACATATCAGCCGAATACGCCAACCTCAGCGCTTCGCAACAGCGGCGGGAATCTCCAGAGTTGCCCCACATGAGTTCTCTGTGCAGCCCGCATCAATATAACTCATACCGCAAAACCTGTATTTGATGCATGTCTTTAGATGTAGTATAGGCTTTGACGATATCTTCAAGACAGTGCAAAAATGATCCAAGCAAATTCTGCTACAAATGTGGCGAATTAACATTTGCTAAGGAAAGGCACAGCATTACCAGCCATATCAAGAAATTGTACAAGGCGTACTTTCATTGTCATATAGGACAGGGCTACTCAACTATTTTCACCAAAGGTCCGTTTAAAAAACTTCAAAATTACTGGGGTCCGGACATTACAGAAAATTTATTTCATTGAATAAACGAAACTTCAAATGCAATATTAAATTAAATACAAGAGCAATGGATGGCTCACAAATATGGACACAAATGTTGCACATCCGTAGCTGTGTATTTAAATCGTATCAAAGTCATCTAAAACGATGCTTATATTGCAAAAATATACAAGCAGACGCGTTCCAAATTGAATGGTCGTAAGGTCCGGATTCGGACCGCGGTCCGCCAGTTGAGTAGTCCTGATATAGGAGACCAAGACAAGTCATGGGCTCCTCATGCTTTTTGCCTTACATGTGTGAAAACATTGAGCGCATGGTATGCAAAAAAATATGTTCACATGAAGTTTGGTGTGCCAATGATTTGGCGAGAGCAGAAAGATCATTCTAATGATTGCTATTTTTGTCAGCAGGACTATACCGGCTGTACAACAGCAAAAAAAAGAAACATATTGTCTACCCAAATTTGCAATCAGCAATGCGCCCAGTTGAGCACTCAAAAGAATTACCTGTACCAAAACCCCCTGATAAGGAAATGTGGAGTTCAAGCAGTGGTACAGCAGTGAACATTACAGTGATGAAAATGTAGAATTTTCTGATTCAGAAAGCAATAATAAACCAATAATATTTTCTCAAGATGCTCTAAATGACTTATACAGAGATCTTTATTTAACCAAAGACAAAAGTGAACTTCTTGCATCAAGGCTTAAAAAACGAAATCTTCTTAGAAAAGGGGTAAAAATAACATTGTACAAAAACGTGAACCCATTCATGCTTCTGCAATGACATTGTTGGACTTTTTGAACAACTGGAAATACCATATGACAACACCAACTGGCGACTTTTCCCAGATGCATCCAAAGTAAGCATAACAGCTGTTTTGCTTCACAATGGTAACACCCTGCCATCTGTTCCTATAGCTTACAGCACAACCATGCAAGAATCATATGAAAATTTAAAAACAATTTCAACAAGCCTACAGTATAACGTCTATAAATGGCATGTTTGAGCAGATTCCAAGGTTATAGCCATGCTCACTGGCCTTCAGCCAGGCTATACTAAATTTGTTTGCTTCTTGTGCTTATGGGACTCTAAGAGCAAGAGTTGAATACTATGTACGCAAGCACTGGCTTTCTAGAGATGAAATTGAGCAAGGGAAACAAAACATCAAACACAACCCACTTCTGCAAAGTGATAGAATCCATTTACCACCTTTGCATATTAAACTCGGTTTGTTCAGTTTGCACTGGACTCAGAAAGCACTGGACAAAGATTCCTTTGCCTTTGCATATATTGCAGAAAAGTTTCCTTCCTTAAGCCAAGCTAAAATAAAAGAAGGTAGGCTATCTTCATAGGTCCCCACATTCGAAAAATTGTTTTTGATGAAACTTTTGACACACATTTCACGTGAAAAGAAAAATGTTCCTTTGAGTCATTCAAGAAAGTTTGCGATAAATTTCTGGGAAAACATCGTTCAGAAGACTATGTGCAAGTTGTGAATGATCTACTGCGTCATTTTTATGATATGGGATGTAACATGTCTCTAATAGTTCATGTGCCCCACTCTCATTTGGATTTTTTTACTGAGAATTTTGACAATGTAAGTGATGAACATGGCGAAAGATTCCATCAGGATATTTCATTAATAGAGAAACGTTTTAAAGGAAAATGGAACACTGGTATGTTGGCACACTGGTATGACTGCTGCTGGAATTTGAAAAAAGATGATGACACTCTACACAAGAGGGTGAAGAGAACAAATTTTGTTTAAACTGGTAAATTCGGTGTTTTTTTCAAAATAAAGAATAATGAAATACATGAAAATGGTACCTAATCCAGGGAAATAAATGTCAGATTTGAAATCAGCATACTTTTCTTACACCGAAACCGGTCTTATATGGCTTGTACTTTTTTTTCACTTCAAATTTGTTGCACAGTGTTATTAGGACTGGTCATTTTCGAAACACTGGTGATTCGAAATCGAAACGGAATTTTGCCTTCGAAACGAAACACACGTTTTTCAGAAAAAAAGTAAAATATGATACCATTATTACCCATCGAATTTAATGTATAATGACATCTATTTTCCCCAATTAAATCCCCAAAGGGATAGCACTGGATGCTAATTCGAGAGGATAAAACGATAATGATAATTGCACGAATGTTTCTGCTCAATGACAAAGCAGCGACCAAATGGCACCAGGATAATACAAATTACGTCATTGTTAGAGATGGGGCTCACAAGCAGCATAGCATGGGGCCTCTCAACGTATCAATGCGGCCCTACCCTCATCTAATGTAATGGGCCGGGTCATTTTCTTCTTTATCCGATGTCACAAATCCTTGTGATCCAGTGTGGTTATACCAGGGAGAGCCATAACCGAATACCTGACTATTTCGAATACATTCTGGAAAAAGATATTTTTGAATCTCCTGAATTCCGAATACATTCTAAACTCCAGGAACATAGGAATTGGGCTTTTATTGATTGAAATTAGTTATTTTTTAGTATCTTGGCAAACACAGAAAAAAGAGCAACTAGATGGAATGTTTAAATTATACAGTAAAATCAACATTAACTCGGATTTGTGATACGGCTAATTTTCGTTATGACTCTGATATTCACGATATTCGAATAAATTCGGATATTAAATTCGAATTGGACATCCCTGAATGATACATTGACTAATTTCAGGTTGCATTTGCTATGATGTCATAATATCCGTTTCGAAGGTCGAAACGCCGCCGTTTCGGCATATCAGTGTTTCGAAACGCCCAGCCCTACTAATTATACGACATAATTCATCCAAAATCAATAGGCTTCAGGTCCGATATATCATGAATACACATGCGAAATTTGGAGCATATTCAATCGCGAATTCGTGCTATCGCGTAACATACAAAAGTGTCCAACAGACAGACAGACAAACAAACAAATACCTATCAACATACTTACCGATCGAGA